ACGTCAAGATGTTACCTGCATTTCATCCACCCATCTTAAGAGGTCCTGGACAAATTTCATATTGACTTCTTCTTCTGTTAAATTCTGATCAATGAAAGCCGATTTCATCAGAGGCTTCCGAATCTGTGTCAATTTGAGTGTTTGAAGTGCACCTGTGTCAACTCCAGTTATGTAGCTTTGAATTAACCGTGGTGGGAAGCCCGGAGTGTATGCTGGGGTGATGGCTGGCGTCACTCTTGGGGAAAAGCCTGATGATAAACCTGACGTCAGACTGGATGAGGTCAAGGAGGGAGACAAACCCTGACTTAGTCCAGAGTTTAAATTAGGGCTTAGGCTTGGTGCAAATCCTGAGTTTAAGCTTTGTGTTATTCCTGATATCATCATCTTGGTCTGTTCTGTTGTTAGTATTCTCCCTTTGTTGTAGATTGAAGAACACTCTGCTTTTAAGGCCATAAGGTTATCTCGGAGTTTTGCAACCCTACATTAAAACAGACAAAAGCATTCACCACAGAAATTGTCTAGATATTGCCTCAGAATTTTCATGAACAACATCGGTCAAAAATAATAATAGAAATCAGAATTAAATAAACTATCATAATAAAAGAGTTAGATCCATTTGTTCCAATAAAGCCTTTTATGCACTGCAAAAAATTTGATGCATTCATGCTATAATGGTAATGTCAAGCTGTATGTTTTTGGATGTAAAATGTAATCATATAACAAGACCAATAAGCCTGTATAATCAGTTTTATCTCAAATGCGATTCCTAAATATGCTTGTAAACATGCTCTTCTCATGTGAAAAGGACAGCTTGTTTAAGACATCATTTGTGCATCTTTGAGAAGGAAGTACAAAAGTGACTATAAAAGTAGGACTCAAACCATATGGCTACTAATGGGGAAAAAATGCATACAGAATCAAAAAGGCTGTTCTACATACTGGTAGCAATATTAGTCCACACGTGATAGTAAAAGTCAACCTGTTATAGGTGAGCCACACATATGCCCCCGGAAACCACCCAGAGCAGATTGTGCTCTCGCTAACATGAGGTCTCAGCTTGGTAGGCTGCAGGGAATAGCTTTTACTGAGAAAAAAAGGAGAAATGGGAGATTTTCTTTTTATCCAGCAAAAGGACTGACAATGGCAATGTTCCTGCTGGTACTAGCCTTACCTAGGAACTGGTGAAGATTTTACGGCCAAAAAGTTGTCCAATTCTGATTTACAGAAGCACTCATTTATATATGTTTACATAACTGGCAGCGTGTCATAAAAGTAGCCAAAGACATTGCTAGAGACACATGCTGAATACGGGATATCCTAAACAATACTTATTATTATATGGTAGAATTATCTTACCCTGGGCTACAGGGCAGCTGAAATGATTTCAGAAATCAGACTTTAAAGCAGAATTATCTATGCACTACTTTTGAAACCATTCTCTAACTCTAGCATAGATGAATGGATATCCTAATTAAAGTCAAAATTAGCATCGTTTAAATAAATTGTTTAAACAACTTGAACACAGACCTAAGTAAGTCAAACCAATTTCTGTTAAAGTTACAGAAATTGCCAAGAACAGAATAGTCACTGGCATGAAACAAGCTAGGAGCTCCTATTCCTAAATAGCAACCTTAACGTATATACCTTTGGACTAATTGATCCGCCTGATAATATTTTCCATCAGTAAGAATCTGGGCATCCATAACTTGTTGGCGGAGAAGATTCTCACACTCAAGTAGATAGCCTGCAATCTCAGCTTCATTCTGGAACTGCAGGCCTGCTTCTAATCGTTTTCTATCCTAAGTTTAAACAGGGGGGGGAAAATCACACATGTATTTAACTGGAAAATAAATTCTTCATGAGATACTTCTGTTCTTCTACACTAATAACCTTTTGGGGACAGACAATAATTATGCTTACTTAGAAATCTTTTAGATGTTTATGTCTGAAAAATACATTGTATATATTTCAATTATCATGAAATATATCTGTAACAGCTTAATTTTAGACCATCAACTATTTATTACATCAAGCCAAATTTTCAATATAGATTGCTCTCTCCAAAAACAGTAGTGTAATTAAATAGTGGCTTCCCCATTTAGATAAACAGAAATACGTACCTGAACATACAGAACTCTTTTGGAAAACTACCATCAGTGTGATTAATTAACTTTATTTTCTATATTAAAATGCTTTGTAAAAGGTTGCTTAAGCAGCCGTGATTGCTTATTTTCTGAAATTGATACAAAGGCATTTTTTTTTTACTGGATAAAACATGAGACAACTGGATTTTCCATTTTACCAGACGAAATTTACCATAAAGGTAAGGGTAAAGGTTTCCCCTGTCCAATCATTTCCAACTCTAGGGGGTGGTGCTCATCCCTGTTTCTTAGCTAAGGGAGCCAGTCACGTGGTTAGCATGACTGTAAGCCAAGGCACATGGAATGCTGTTACTTTCCCACTAAAATGGTACCTATTTATCTACTCGCATTTGCATGCTTTCAAATTAGGTGTGCAAGAGCTGGAGCAAGTAATGGGAGCTCACCCCGTTATGTAACACTTGGGTCTCAAACCCGGACTGTCAGCTTTCCAGCTGACAAGCTCAGCATCTTTAACCACTGAGCCATCATGCTTTCTGAAATTTTAAAATTTAAATTTACCATAAGTACAGTACATGAATTTCATAAGGCAGCTATCAATGCAAAAAAGAAAAGTATAATCTCTTACGGACATTTACTTGTACAGGGCTGTTAAGTTCCTTGATTTTTGATGTATTTTCAATTTTAAAAACGCTTATCTATTCTTGAACACTGAAAACAAATATTAAATTCAGGATGTATAGTGGGAACGCACTCCATAGTCTTAACTTGAAATAATAATGCCTATTAACACTAATGCACATCTAGCATTTGTTTTTCCTTTCTGGCAGATACAATATTCCTGAGCATTCTCTACCTCCTCTAAGTTTATTGACAGCCTTCAAAACTGCAGTGAAATTACAATAAGCATATACTGTGTTCCCTTAAAAAATGTTTAGAATATATGTTCCCAATGCCTTATTGACACAGACAAAGATTGAAGCATTTAAAACAGTAGCTTTATACTACTTTAAAATGTTTTTAATCCAGAAAGGTGGCATAATATGCAAAAGGAGATCATGTTGTTAGTCAATTCATTGCATGCATGATGACATATGATAGATGTCTATGGTACTCCAAAACGAGCTATTAATAAGTACAGATAATTCTTCTCATCTTCCAAATAATTCTGAAAACGGTTATCATAATTCCTGTTTTAAAAAGGCAAAGCCTGAAGCCATAGAGTGTGATTTGTTTTGCCCATCGGGTAAGTATCTAATTGTACAAGATCTAAACAAAGATGCTGTCCTTCTATTTTTTATCCAATAATCCACATGGGTTTTCAATAAAGAAAAAAAGTAAACAAAACTAGATATTCAAAACTACTTACTGACTGCATAGCATTTCGAGCAAGCATTAGCTTGTCTTCACAATTCAGGCTGTCCCGCTGAACTCTGTTTGCAATTTGCTGCAGCATATCTAACCTAAAGACATCAAAGTTAAGACAGGTCCCATAAAGCTGATTATGCCTTTCTCCATACAGTAAAGTAGTATTAACTGTTACCAAATAAAACTGAACCAAATTCTGCAATGTAATGTCAAAACCTACCTGGATCCTTCCATTGGACCATTGCCGAAGCTTATACACGAATTAGCAAGAGTTGGACCACAGTTAACAGATACGAAGTTTTCATTAGAATCAATGCTGGTTCGGGTACTAGTGCTATTACTAAAAGAGTCACTACTCTGGTAGCCATAACTGTTAGCATTCATTTTTCATAGCCAGAAAGCTTCTTGGTTGTTTGAAAACTGAAAAAAGCAGAATGCCTGCAAATGTGCACAGCTATCAGAAAGGAGTTAGCTTTAAGAGCAGTTCCACCATTGCATCCTTAAATAGACTTTAGTGTGCATATTCAAAACCCTGTAAATATTATTCTGATTCCTCTTCAGATTTTGCCTTCAGCTATATATGCCAATGTGGGCTTGGCTTCTCCAGCTTTAAGTGCCTGTACAAGTAGGGACTAATCAGAATGATTAGGGCGTTAACACTGAAGGAAAAGTGCCAAATACCTTTAGGTAACTGTCATCCAATCTCAGAAACCTAACTGATATGGGACAGGATAAGCAGATCTTACTTTTAAAGATCTGCAACTCCAATATGTAAAAAAAAAATTGATCAATAGTCATTTTATAGAGTTGCAGTATTTTTTTTAAATGAAATGATTCATTATATTCATATTTGCTTTTACATGGGATAACAATGGTCTGTCTTCATTTTGATCCTGCTATGCTCCAACTTCATGTGCTTTCGATAATTGCTTATATTACAGCCAAAACAGGACCAGGACTATAGCTCATCTTGCACAAACTACTTTGCAGAGAATTCAAATTAAGAATGTATTTATAAATGTTTTTGTTCTATTTAAACAGATTCACTGTGCATTTATTGGGATAAAAAGATCAGAACTGCAGAGTCAATGGTTATTTTTGCAATCGGCTAGCAATGCTGGTTTACTGACTGCTCTAATTTTTTCTATAAAATGTGGTAGAATCTTTATTTTGACTGTTTGGCATTAAAAAGATTTTGCACGTGTACAAGCAAAAATGCCAGTCAACACATCAGGTGTTCTGATTTCTTGCTGGCAAGGAGTATCAATATTATATCCCACCATTAGAATTCTTTTAAGTTTATTATTACCCTTATTATAGTCTTTATTTCGTTAAGGAAATTGAGGCTGCTTCTCCTTCAGCACTACACTTCCTTTAACAGCAGATTATTTTATAATGAATCTTATTGTTCAACAAATCCCTATTCTGTAACTGACCCCCAGTTTATATTAATGCTATTTTAAACTGTTAAGACTAGGCTTATCATATATGAAAACTGTGATAAAGCTTATCCTGTATGAAAATGATGAAAGCAAAGATAGAGCAAACTCAAAACTCTTTGCTCACATCTAGTGATCAAATGGACTTTTGCAACCCAAATACAGAGTATCTAGCAAAGCCTTTTAATGCATCTTCTTAAACATGGTTAATGTTTCCTAATTTCCCCTCATAACAGAAACTTCTTTAGATAAGACAACAGACAAGATGAAAAAGATGGACTTAATAATGGGAGAAAATAAATACTACACCTGGGTTGAGGCACAGCACCATTTCCATGAGCATCAGGGATGAGGAACTTCTAGCTGGCCCTTCAAACTAATCCATTTCCCCACAGACCTCAAGCGAGGTCCCTCCCCTCTCTGCCTATCAAGTCCCCTTCCTACCAATTATGATCGCAGATTACCCCAACTTTTTGTTTTCCTAATAAACACAATATATACTGAGGCAAATAATTAACATACAGAAGTGGGAGGAGGGGTCCCTTTGGTTACCATGTAAAGAAGAAACAAAGCCCTGAATGAACAGGGTAAGGCCTTTGCTCTCTTGCTTCGTTAAGCTGGAAGCAAATCTGGACAAAGTCAGAGAGATCAAAAGGCAAACTAAAGGTTTCTTGGTTGTGTAATCTGAGAGAGAAATTTTAATACATAAGATAAAATATTAACAGGTTAAGGTCCACAACCAGTCAAAATATATATAGAAAAAAATATTTTGATACAAAACGAATAGTATGGTAACAACAGAAGCTTGAGACAATCTCACCTGCTGTTGACAACTCAGCCTTTAGAGAATAACCAATCTCTAAACCCTTGCTGGTTTACTTTCTACACAATGGATATTGCAGTAGTAACAAATATCAGTCATAATTCTTGAAGGGCAAGCATCAAACTTAAGATGAGCATGAAAACCAGTGGAATGGGCAAAGCCATTGTCTCAAATATTGGCCAAAGCAAGATTTTCATTTTTTTCCCTTGAAACAGGATAGGGAATTCATTATTTTTCATTATTAAATTTATTTGGGCGCTTAGGGCAGGGGTCCTCAACCCCGGTCCATGGACCAGTACCAGGCCACGCCATGCCAGCAACTGGTCCACACAAACAAGCAAAGCCCCATTCGTGGGATGCAGCCAGCACACAAAATCATGCACTCTCCGGTCCGTGGAAAAATCTTTCTCCACAAAAGGTTGGGGACCTCTGGCTTAGGGTACAACTTTCATTTCTTCTCTGCCTCAGAATAGTAGGGAACATAATGCGAATTCTCTTAATTATCCAGGAGGCTCAAGCAGTCCTGAAAAGATTCCCAAGACTGCACGTGGCCTTGGGGAGTCAGCCTGTTTGCTTTGACTTCATGGCACACAATGTCCTTGGCATCGGTATGAATTTCCTTCAGCAGATACCATGGCATAAAGCTCTGAGGCAATCTACCAATCTACCCTTCCAAGAGACTTGGTCTACCATCTCAGACGGGGTAACTGCCACTTTTTTTTTTTTAACTCTCCTGAGGCTTCTGAGAAAAAGATGGTGGCAGCAAACTCAATCCTATAATTGCCCTGGCAAACTTCAGAAAGTATTAACTACTGTTTGCTGATCTGTGACCATAATAAACGTTGGTCGGGACTGAAACATAAACCTTGAGAAAACTGTTTACTGCAAGCAATGTTTGATAACTGGAATTATCCAAATTGTCCAAATTCTGATGGGCAAAACATCAGACAAGGTTATAGTTACATACTTGCTATTTAATACAGAACTCTGCATAAGCTTGCTTGATAATTATATGAATAAAATTAAGCGTAAGTACAGATATTTGTTCAATTTAAAAGCAATATTCAATTAATGAGCCTCACCCGACAATTCATTTCTACAAAGGAAATTTTGACTGCCTCTGTTTCAAGTTTAAAGTGTCTCTGCCTATTATGTAATGCATTCTATTGAGCAGTTTCAACCCGGCAGGGATAACATGCCCATAAAACAAATAATCAGCCCACCTTTCAACTTCTGGTCGAAGCATCTTTTCTCTTTCCAACATAGCAATAATTAGCTTTCCCCATTCTTTTTCAATGTCATTTGGGTGGTAGCCTTGAGGAAGCTTGATACGCCCAAACTCAATCCAAACCTTTGAAGGCAAGAAATAATTGCATAAAATTGAGAAACCAAATCAAGCATAAAAATGAGAAATAAATCCAGCCTGCACCAGTCCACACAATGTAGCTTACCTCTAGTAATTTATATAGATGCTTGATTTTTGATTTGTCTATCTCCTTTGGTGGAATTTCTGTTTCCTTAAATTGTAAATACTGGTTATAAAGTGCCTAAAGGAAAACAAACAGATATTCTGATCTACTAAGGCTTATAAAAACTTGTCATGCTCATCACTGTGAAACCAAATTGTCTAATTTACTTAATATCAACAACAAAATATATGGATTTACAAGAAAAAAAGAGAATTAAACCGTATGTCTCTCATTCAGCTTTCCCTTGCTATCTTGGTTCTTTTAAGTCCAAGGTTAACTTAAATCTTCTACCCGCTGGTGTTCTTGGATGTAATCCCCACAGTTAAATGCTGCACAGGATTCTGTTTGATGTCTCTTTTATGAACTGGACAAGAATCCAAACCATTAAATTTGTGTTAGTTGTGGCAGTGGCTTGCGCAGCCTCAGATTAAAATGCATTCTAATGCCTCCAAGCCAGGGAGATACCCTTTATTGCTTAATCTTTACATGAATATTGTGTTTAGATTTGTGGCTCCTTCCCAAGATTCTAATATCTAAAATCACTGATTATACATAGTTGATCAGAAACCCAGTTTTTTTCCATCGCCACGTGACTAACAGTAGATTGACTGAGGATTGATTTATTTATCAAACTTATATAGCCACCCATCTCAGGATCATGTGATAAGGATAGAAGATAATCCATCGGTGAGAACTTCACGCATAAAAACTATGTTTGTAGGAAAATAGCATGAGAGGGGAGAAGGAATTTAACCTAACATTCTCTCTGACATAATAGCTTCCAGCATTTTTACATCAAGGGACATGTAACAGTGCAAACTATGCCAGCCCCTTAAGTTCTCAGAAGAGCTGTGCTGAGCAAATTTACTTCACTCTCTCCTATACCCACTGTCTATTGTGCGGGAACTGGCTTTGAGCAGATTCTGAATCTTGAATCAAATATTTTATGCTCCAGCACTGCCATTTCTGTAATTTAAAGGACATGGGAGTTTTGTGGATCACTATACATGAATAGGTGAGTACTCTAAAGGAGTAGAACCTAATATTCTTTAAAAACTGTATTCTGGCAATATAAACAAAAGAGAAAAAATCACCTTGAGTTCTACAGGATTGTTTGGAAATGCTCTGTCAATCATTATTGTGGCATGGTGCCTAATCCATTGGATGAGGTAGTTCACCATATTCTGGTATTCAATCCATTTGACTTCAACATCCTAAGAGAAGCAATAAAGTAGCACACCAATTGTAAAGACTTTGCTTGTCAATTGTATCTGTTGCATTATAGCTAAGCAACCATCAAGCTCTATCTAACTTAGTCCTAAAGTGATAGCAAAAATTACAATTTGAATTGGCAAAGTCTTCTTTGCAAGCAATTTTTGAATACCAGTGCAGACACTGGATCTTCCAGGCCTATACCTCTTGGGCTCCTGATTCAAATTCTCCTCCTCTCCTGTACTCAGTATGAGATTTTGCCCACTCTTAAGTTCTCCTTTATAGCATCTATATGTACTTGTAAACCATGTATTCTTCTGTTATCTGATTTTAGTTCTCTTATCTACCGTTCACTTGATTTCTAGCTTTACTCCCAGCACTTCCCTTACTTACTTTGAGAAGCAGTCCAGCCTTACTGTAAGCGCTATACATTTTTTTTGAAGCCCTCTTCTGTCAATATCCTTCTCTTACCTTTTTCTTCTTTTTTCCCTTTTTTCCCCTAGTGCAGAGGTCCCCAACCTTTTGGGCACCAGGGACCGGTTCCATGGAGAGAGGTTTTTCCGTGGACTGGAGGGGGCGTGGTACTGCCTGCATCCTGCGGATGAGGTTTTGCTTGTTTGTGCAGCCCGGTGCCGGTCCACAGACTGGGGCTTGGGGACCCCTGCCCTAGTGACCTATTTTTAACTTCATAACTCTATCACATCAGGCCTATATGCATTTTTTCCCCACACATGGCTATGCTCTACTGCAGGGGTCCCCAATCTGTGGGCCACGGCCCACTACTGGGCCATTACCTATTCGCAACCAGGCCATGTGAGTGGTGGGCTGATGTGCACATGTGCACAGCTTGATTCATGCAAGTGGCCAGCACCGGTGCTTACACTCCACTCACTGCTCACACAAATGAAGCTGTGTGCATGTGTGCGTGCTTGCCCCTCACACAAAACCATCCCCTCTTCCCTCCCTTCCCCAGGCTGTCAACCCGGAAAGGTTGGGGAATGCTGCTCTAATGAATGGGCTTGAAGAATAGGTCCCCAAAATTACTCATAAACCCAGTTGCTAATTTCATGATACACTTTAATCAGCATCATGTCCGTGAGGACTCATTTCAACATGCCCTGCTCAACAGCCTAAATATCAGGTAAACCCAACAGAACGCGGCATCTGAAAAAGGAAGTGGACTCAACTACCCTGCATGGAGGAAGTATGACCAAAGGGAGAGTTCTCACTTCTTAGTACTATCATTCTATGACCTATTGTTATTCAAGTTGTTTTCTACAGGAACTAGCAGTTATATAAGCTTTGAGCCCCAATGAAACAGCCACACTCTTAACTTTACATAACATTTCAGTATTTCTGCCTAAAAATTGTTCTGAGTGTATAAAACTAGTTTCTTACTTACATGTGCACTGATGCCTTCACCACCTTCAGGTACTTTGGGAAATGCATCATAAAGTGATGATACATAAGTGATTACTGATTTCTCATCTGGCGAGGAGACATTGACATCTAAAGTGTACAAGTGGATAAGGCAATCTTTACAATACAGATACCACAACATCAGGCTTTCTATCAAGCTTTTTGAAGCCTGTCAATCAACAGTATTTTCAATTCATCAACTCACCTTCAGGATCCAAAAGCCTGGCAACTCCAAGTTTTTCAGCTACAAAAAAAGCATGCTCTAAATTTGCAAGGTTGCTTTGAACAGCAACAGTATTCATGTCTACCAGGTCCGGCCTGTAAAAGAAAAGAATGTAATCTGGTTTTAGAGGGCAATACGTGAGCAGTGATGTTCATTTATTTTTGAATATGGGATAGGTTTTCAAGGGAAAGGTTATTACTTCAGAGGAAATGGGCCCTACATTTCAACTTTTCAGGTCCCAGTCAGACTTTTCTCTCTGAAAAAGAATGATTTAGGTTTTAGGAAATAGGTTTTTATCACAAGGGAAAGGCAGAGGAGTGGAAACTTCCAGTGTTTTACATAGAGAAGTCACTGGTTGAGATCAGAATCCCTTGTCATTCCAAAACATTATGTCTGGATATCTTACAATTAACAAGACGTGCCTCACCTCTTCTGCCTTTTGTAGATAGGAAAAGTAAGTGGTGGGCAACATTTTGAGGAGAGGGTGGTTCAAAATGATGAGATCGTAAAACTACATCTTATGATGGACTTGTCTTACTCTAATGAAATTCCCTGCTTCATCATGCTTGCCAACTTTTTTTATATATCTCTTATGTTTTAATGCTTTTAAGTGTAGTTTCTTTCTCATGTCACCCACAGCTGTTGAGAGGACGGCTGCATACAAGTTTTTGTTGTTATTGTTTCTTCTTCTTCTTCTTCTTCTTCTTCTTCTTCTTCTTCTTCTTCTTCTTCTTCTTCTTCTTCTTCTTCTTCTTCTTCTTCTTCTTCTTCTTCTTCTTCTTCTTCTTCTTCTTCTTCTTCTTCTTCTTCTTCTCCTTCTCCTTCTCCTTCCTCTTCTCCTTCTTCTTCTTCTTCTTCTTCTTTTCTTCTTCTCCTTCTTCCTCCTCTTCCTCCTCCTCCTCCTCCTTCTTCTTCCCCTCCTCCTTCCCCTCCTCCTTTCTCTTCCTCTCCTTCTTCTCCCCCTCCCCTCCCCACCTTCAGCATGCTTAGTTCAATTTCTCCCTATCTTGTCACTCCATCTTCTCCCGAATGAGCTAAAAAGAATCCTGACCATTCATGTGATAGAAAGACATAGGTGGGGGGAAACAACCATCAGAAAAAAAGGAACTAAGATAGGAGTGGAAAATATGATGTCCAGATGTTTTCTATATCTGCAACTCCAACAAGCCCTTGCCTCTAACCATGCTAGTTAGTGATAAGAGAAATTGAGCCTGAGGACACAGTGCTGTCTAAAAATTAAGGAAATATAGTTTTCCAATTCTAAAATGGGTGGGATGATAATCCTTTTCCTAATGATAATCATCATACATTTCAGCTTACAGTCACCTCCATTCGTCCAATCATTAAAGACATTACCCTAATATATAGGGTTTCCTGCCTGAGCAGGGGATTGGACTAGATGACCTCTAAGGTCCCTTCCAACTTTTATTATTATTATTATTATTATTATTATTATTATTATTATTATTGATGATTGATCATCGCACAGTCAGCCAGATGTTCAGACTGGATTTGGCATTTTTGTCTACATATCGAGTCCTTACCCAGGACCTGGGATAGGCAGATGTGGATGTTTGATGGTATTACAGATATCGTCACAGGATGGAAGCAGTTCCTAGCAAGGCTGCCTTTTGCTGCTGCTGCTGCTGCTGCTGCTGCCATTATTATTATTATTATTATTATTATTATTATTATTATTATTATTATTATTATTATTATTATTATTATTATTATTATTATTTCTTCAGTTTCTGGCTGAAGTATGCTTTGGCCGTTAATTCCTTAAACAGTGGGAAATCTCTACTGATTTTTTTTTTAAAAAAGAGGACTTCAATCAAAGGTATCAGCAAAAAGTCCAAGCCCTGCAATTAGCACACTATTAGCCCCAACCTACCAAATTTAAACTTTAAAAGTTATTACTTCCTTCAATTGATTTATGAAAACAATATCTTCGGATACAACACTCAGATAATGAACGATAAAATTCATTATAACAATGGTAGATTTGAAAAAATAGGCCTTTTGTATCTTTTGTGCCACTAACAGATTAATAAACAAGGATATATTTTGAAACAAACGAACACTGTGTGAAGCTGCAAAAGGGGTGAAATCTATCTAAAAACATACAGATGTTCCTCTGATTCTGCTGACTTCTGAGACATTTCACACATGTTGCTTGTAATGAAGCAACTTGTGATATGCAAAACTCAACTATGCCTATTCAGCTGCCAGTTTTTCAAAAACAAGAAAGGGCAAGTTGTAATATATTTGCTATCTTTTTAGTGAAAAGAAAATGCCACTGCCACATAAACAGACTGCAATGCAGAATGTTTTTCTTTAATTCAAGAAGAGGCAAGCTGAAATTTGCTCTGCAACATCAAGTGACTCCAAGGGCAACCACGTTTGTATTACAAATGTCAAATCTATTATCTCTCTAGTTGTTGTATGTAGTGAAACTCTGCAAATTACTTACCTCAATAAATGCATAGGGAAATGTCCCCCCCAAAGAAAAATCAGACAGAAGAAAATATTTGTCTCTTTCACTTTATTATTGGTACTAACCATCATTTAAAATGTTAATATTAGTTACAATTATCTTCAGCCTCATTTTATAAATAATATAGTACCGTATATCTAAGATAACCCTGGTACCTATCCTAAAAGGATATTTAAAAAGTGCACATCTATATACTGTATTTATACACGAATAGTATTTCTGTTAATTATTAAAGCTTTCCAGTGATGATAAAATACATGTCGAAAACACATCTATGATGTACTTATTGTAAATATGCATTATCCAGTCTTTATAAGTGCAAGTCATTCTATAGCAGATTTCTTACTAAACCAATTTCCTGCCGAAGAAAATATATGAACTCAAAGAAAGGGAAAGAGCAGGGAGAAAACATAACAAATTGCTTGTATCGTGATTGTCATACTCAGAATAAGGTATCTTTCTTCCAAATATTGTTTGATTTTGGCCCTTTTAAAATTATAGATCAGTGATGGCGAACCTTTTAGAGACTGAGTGCCCAAACTCCACTTATTTATCGCCGGGTGCCAGGTGGGCATGGCCCACTGGGTGGGCATGGCTGTGGTGGGCATGGCAGATTGGATGGGTGTGGCCAAGGTGGGCGTGGTCACCTCAATGTTGCTCATGGGGAGGGATGCCTCTGGGGGGGTGGGCAGGGTTGGGAGAGATCCAGGGGGTCTCTGGAAAGTGGGGCGATAGGCAGGAGGCTTGTCCTGTGGGGTGTGGTGAGGCAGGGTGGGGTGCCATTGCCATGGGGAAAGGCAAGGGCCGGGGCGGCTGCTGCCTGACACCATTGGCCCCTGCACACACAGGCCAGCGAGCGCATGGGGGGCGACGGTGTCCGTCAGCAACCACAGCCTGCTGGCCCCTCAATTGGTGCACTCTGGGGTTCCGCAGCCCGCCGCCAGCAGTTCAAAGAAGCCGCCTCTGAGCTGGATGGCCGGCCGACAGCTGAGGAGGCGATGCAGTGGGTTGTACCTGGGAAAAGGAGAGCATGCGAGGCCAGGAGGGACGGGACGGGGGGGGAGAACCAGCCATGCCGGGATGCATCCAGCCACATGGGACCTTGGCGAGTTAGCAGGCGGCTGGTGGAAGAGGGACAGTTGCCATCTCCGGGGCATGGTACCTGTGCCCACAGAGAGGGCTCTGAGTGCCGCCTCTGGCACCCGTGCCATAGGTTCGCCACCACTGTTATAGATTATCTAACCACATGGATTAAGAAAATAGAATCTAAGAAACTTCATTCTTTTGGGACAACCATTTCCTAATAAGAAATGTATATAAAATTCTTCAGTCATTCTTGGTGTCTTGGTTAAGAAATACTTCTCAAAAGAAACTTTCTATAAACCTGGCACTTATACATGAGTTATTGACTAAATCTCACTGGTACCACACAGACAGGTAAAATCCAAATCTGGTATAGATTGGAAACTGCCATTTTAAGAGAACTGAATACATACATTAAAATGTATGCAGACAATATTCTCTGTCTGACTTAGTAATCTAACACTGGCAATACATGTCTATAGTTTTCAAAACAGTAGTGTTTTTTTCTAGAATTCTCAGTCTTATAACCCTATTTATTTTGATGTCAGTGAACACAGGTTAAACATTTCCTCAGCTTGGGAATATAAAAATAGTCTGTATTCAACCTCAGCTATTGTCTTCTGTTTATCAAATGAAGCAGGTCAATAGTTCCAATATCTAATTAAAAATAAAATAATATTAATGGGTTTCATAAGGCCTCATTACAGATATATAGTTGGCTCCATGTATAGTAACGCTGAAAGAATGGTTACAGTGTCTCTTATTAATTTAATTAAAAGGAACAAATCTGTATTTAGTCAAAAGTTTATTAAAAATTTCCACTGTAGTCTATCAACTGCTTTCCCCCCCTCCACATCTGATGATACCACCATTCTTCATTTCAATATTGTGTTTAATGACCTCTTATAAAACCTGTTTGTGTAAAATAAATAATCAAAGATTGGTCGTTAGTCGTCCACCTTTCCATCCAGACTTAAAGGCCATCTCAATCACAAATTAAACTCTAGATAGCTTACAAAATGGAAAAATTAAAATAACAATAACAACATACCCCCAAAATTACCAAGCATTCTCACTGGGAAAAACAACAAAACAAACCACATAACTTGTAAAAAAAAATTTTTTTTAGCAGGGAACAGGTTCAGAATCTACCTCGCTCTGGGGCTGCTTATAGAACCAAACCTTCACAGTTTCATGGGAACATAGCTAAATTGAGATTGTATGGATTTCAGAAGGGCAGGCACATCTACTGGGAATGTTGCCAGATCTTACTGGATGGGCAGGGGCAACCCATAAATATTTAGGCCCTAACTTATGTAGGATTTGATAGGTGACAACCAACACCTAGAATTGCACCCAGAATTGCATCTAGTCACTAGTGCAGTTTGCAAACTAGTGGTGTTAAGTGAGCAAAACAAATATGCTCATAGCTTCTTACACTAACACAATCCTGAACCTTCTGTATGGCCTTCAAGAATAGTTCCATGTACAGTGTATTCTAGTAATCCAAACAGG